GGCCATTTTATATGATCAGATAATGTAATATATCATTACAGAGCCCTGTGGCTATCTAATTGCCCAAATTGTTTATTAAAACTATCCCGACAATAATCTCCATACCTGACGTATTCAAAAAATGAAGAAAAAGGTTTAAAAAAATTAGCACTCGTGCGAAAAACTTGATTTCTCCATCAGATCTTAGCGGACCAAAAGAACTAAAGTGTCGCTGGATAGACCCATTAATGGATTATCATATGACATCTGAATGATACGATTTAGATGGCTAGAAAATAAATTATGGTACATCGAAAATCTAGTATTTTCCGTTTTGGAGCATTTTGAGACGCCATTTTCTCGAAAACGAAAACTATGATTTTTCTTAAACTTTTTTTAATCAGAGTCCTATCGGTGGACTATGGCGTGAGTCCAAAAATAAAAGCATTGAAATAATATAAGTGGTCCAAAAAGAACCTCAATCTTTGAAAAAAGTTTAAAAATCCTTAAATTACTGAAAATGATCTTCTAATTTTCTTTCTTTGGAAAACAGCTGAATGGATTATTCTGAAACTTCTTGTACAGAAGGTAAGGTAACCAAACAACTTGTTAAAGCTATCCCGACAATGATCCAAAAACCGGAAGTAGTCAAAAAATTTCCGATATTTTGAGAGAAAAAAAACGTAAAAAGTAAAAAAAATGGCGATCTTGCGAAAAAAAAGTGATTACTACGCCAGATTCCACCGAATCAAAACAACTAAAGTGTCATTGGATAGTTCGAACAATGGACGATCTTATGAGATCTAAATGGTAAAAATTCGCGGGCTAGGCAATATATAATGGAACGCTGAAAATCTATTATTTTCTTTTTTTGAGCCTATTCAGACGCTTTTATTTCGAAAACTTCTCTTATTTCCTTTCTTAAATCTATGTTACTTAGAGTCCTAACGGTGGTCTATGGTGTGAATCCAAATTTAAAAGCCTCAATATAGAATAAATGGTCCAAAAGGGCCACAATCTTTGACAAAAGTCGAAAAATCGTTATATCTGTAAATCTGCTTCTAATGGTATTATGTCCAATGGATCTTTCTGAAACTTCTGGTACAGGAAGTTAAGTTCCCATACCACTTTTTAAATCTATCCCGATAATGATCCGTAAACAGGAAGTAGTCAAATAAATATTCGATATTTAAAAAAAAAAGACAGTAAAAAAAATTGGTGCTCTTGCAACAATCAGGATTTCACCGTCGGGTGTGACCGGATCAAAACATCTAAAGTATCGTTTGGTAGCTCGATAAATGGGCTATTGTATGACACACTTCCTGTCTGATTCCTGAAAGCCGGTTCAGTGCTGCTTGCAGGTCTAGTTATTATTCAAATTCCATTTTAATTAGATCTCAGCAACTGCTTGTCGCATCGTTTCGATTTCTTCTGTTTTACTGGGAAAGTGGGTGTGACTTAGAGGATAAAGCTATTTTGAACGTTCTGCGACAATGCGAAATGTCCGAAAACATCTAAAGTATCGTTTGGTAGCTCGATAAATGGGCTATTGTATGACACACTTCCTGTCTGATTCCTGAAAGCCAGTTCAGTGCTGCTTGCAGGTCTAGTTATTATTCAAATTCCATTTTAATTAGATCTCAGCAACTGCTTGTCGCATCGTTTCAATTTCTTCTGTTTTACTGGGAAAGTGGGTGTGACTTAGAGGATAAAGCTATTTTGAACGTTCTGCGACAATGCGAAATGTCCGAAATCACCGAAGCTATCGATTTTTAAAATATTGCAGTAATTTTAAAAAAATCATTGGATTTTAACTTTCGATACATTTTGGCATAGTTGGAGACAGAGCACATAGCTACGCTACTTTTGATTTTTGATTTTCGGCAAATCTTCGCAGATATTAGGCACCAAATTTAGAAAATTTAAATTTTTACAAAAAACTTTTTTATTTATGAATATTTTTTAGTCGTGTTTTACACAAAAATAACGAGTCCTCTGACTTGGGCAAAAATGTGAAAATTCTTTGTCTCGGAAATTTTCCTTGGCCCCCGAGGCTAATTCAGTTTTTCAGTCCTAGATCAATTATTTATTGTTCGATTTGTATAAAACAAAGTTCATATGCTCTGTAGAACCTTGTTAACCCTCAAACGACAAAATTTATAATCTGATCTGTATGGAACTGTCTAGTAAAGGCCCCCAATTACCTACCAAGGAATAAATATGCAACAACCCTTGTCGACCGCTCGGACGATTCAGCTGCTGTGGGTGTATGTTTCGTTGCCTGGCAACCTATCTTTTATACATTTCACCGATATGGTTTCTGAGTATGATGTCTTGTCCATGTATTTGTTTTTATGTAAGTTATGTGTGGTGCAGTCCCCCTGCACTTACTATTAGAGCTGTAACATTCATCTCCATTGGCGAGGGTGTTCATGATTTCCATCAAATCGTCAACTGTGTATAATTCTGCGTCGCCGATATTCTCAAGCCATTCACACAGCGATAGGAAATACCCATGCATGCTTTCATATTGGGGGTGCCCGCACGTTGTGTCTTTAGCGTTCACATCTCGAATAAACTCCCTGTAACATGTACGGTGGTATCTTGCTTCAGCTGCAATCAAACAGGTTGTGTTACTCACCCTATGAATACATCCGTAGACCAGCATTCATTCCTTTTTTCGCACTGATCAAATACAGCTGTTCTGACGCCCGTTATCCTCACTTCAAATACTTCGGAACGATCTAGATGTTTAGAATCCACATGTGCTTTTTGGCTACATATGAAGCAGTCACTCTTCCATTCAAATGATCCTAAGCTAGATCTCAATTTCTTTCGACAAGGATCTGCTTTATTGCAATTCAATTTTGCGTTCTGCTTTTTCGTCAGTTCAATTCGGTTGTCATTTGTGTAGTCCCTTCTACAGGTTGCATGCAGCTGAAATGTGATGCATTCATCACTTTGCGTGTCCAGTTTTGAGCAGAAGAATAGCGACAATCTGTTGTCCCCTCTTTCTTTACTGCATTCAATTAATTTTTTCAGACCTTTAGTGCGATTGTTGACAACATCGTACGACAATTCATCATTACAGACGACACACTGGCCTTCTGTGAACTGTACATCCTCATTTGCATCCATTCTTACCGATTTGTGGGCAACTTGTTTTGAGACAATGGGCCAATGTAATTAAACTTTTACTCAAATCAGACGATAATCGTATCGTTGATGGTCAAATAACCTTGAAAAGCATTTGTGATACACAAATATATTCTCAGCGTATCGAAAGATGTGAAGAAAAGTGTGAAGAGTGGATTTTAGTAGTCGAATTGGTACCAGAACTAGAACGTGTGTAACTTTTTTTGCCCAAGGCTGATTTTGGTGGATTTTTTCCTGGAGTTGTATGCAAGTATACCTTTCATAAAAAACAAGAATCATTTGTTTTTGTTTTTTTTTAAGTTCTTCTACCAGCCTATTATATCACCAATCGTATCTGAAGGACCTTTTCCGTGATGTAGCTGATTGTTATTGAAGTAATCAATTACTAATTACCCTACATTACAACAAATTGTAGCGAAAGCATACATTATGTTCTTATCAACACAAATCACATAAACAAGTTATCTCCCTTCACATGAGTAAGCGTGAAACTCCGATTTTGGCACGAAGCAAACACGTCTTCAACTAAATTGTTATTTTTGTGTTTCCAAAGTCAGCATTTTGGAGTTATTGGGTGTTATTTTTTAGTTATTGTCCCCCGCCTTTCGAAGAAAGCAGGAGACTATTAAAATGAGTTCATCTGTCTGTCTGTTCGCCCGTCCGTCTGTCCATCCGTCTGTCTAGTCACACTTTTTGTAACACAATAACTCTTTTTCAAATTGAGCTAAAAGGTTCAAATTTGGTGTAGGTGTTTATTAGGTCAATACCTTGATGGCATTCGAAAATGAGCAATTTCTGTTAGGGTAAGCAGAGATAAGCAATTTGATTGGTTGTAGTTCAGCCCTGAACGTAGAGGCCTAGTGTAATGAGACCTACGTTCAGAACTGAACTAGATTGGTTGATGCTTTGGAACACGATAAATTTAGTTCTAATTAAGTGAGAGTGATGAAACTTGACCTGCATAGTTTCATTACATCAATACCTTGACTAAGTTCGATAATGAGCATGTTCTGCTTCAGGGTAAGCAGAGCAATAAGCAATTTGATTGGTCGAGACTTTGGAACACAATAACTCTCATTCTAAGAGAGTTAGAATGTTCACACTTGGTGTAGGTGTCAAATTAGGTGAATGCCTTGATGGAGTTCGAAGACAAGCAATCTGATTGGTTGATGCTTTGGGGCATGATAATTTTCTGCTTGGGCTAAGGAGCGATAATTGAGGTAGAATGTTTAAACTTGATGTAGATGTTCATTTGGTGAATGTCTTGACTGAGTTCAATGTTTAACATTTCGAGCTAAAGCTAAGCAGAGCTAATCAATTTCATTGGTCGATGCTTTGGGACAAGATAATCTTGATGCTATCTAATAGAGAGTGATGAAACTTAGTGTACAGTTTGATTGCTCGATACTTTTAAAAAATATAAATGTGCGATTAATTAATATGTGTCATCTATTTATTTTGGGATTTCGGCTGGGGAAATCAGCCTCACTGTTGGCTTGTTTGGTAGTTATTAGGTTCTATAGGGTAATTCGACGTGTCGCGTAGCTTATATATAAATTGCCTGTTTTCTAATTCGATATGAAGTATTGGGACGATGAGAGGATGAACTATATCTTGGCATATCTTGAATGACAACTGCTTGTGTATGATTGTGAAGGCTCTTCATGAATGCTAATCACACAAATAAAAAATATATTCTCTTTCGACTAGCTTCTGTGGCTTGTCAATAATTATGGAATATTTTGCTGAAAATTTATGCCCCATTGTTAATTATTGTGAGATAACTAGTATTATTTATCAACTTGAGTACATTTTAAAGCAGCACATATATGTGTAAGATGGTTTAAATTGTTATATATTTTAAGGGACCAGATAGTTTAAGACGCAATGCCTTAGTGAAAGAATTAAATATGATTGATGATAGTGATGTATCCAAGAGTCCTCTGTTACTACAGGTATTTCAACAAAAACAAGATCAATCCAACCTAACTAATCATATGGAACAGATAATTACAGAAAATCAACATGTGAGTATGGCACTATAGTATAACAGTGATCAAATAATTTCAATAAAATAAATTTGGTCTAAGGTATCTGTAATAGACTAGTGCATTAGTTTTATACTTTCACGTTCTTTACTTGCGAACCTGGTTAATTTAAATGTTGTTGAAAAATGGCATCCACGTGTTTGTTCATCCAACTGCTCATTCAACCAGCTGCCTGTCATTCACATTTCTTGTCCCCCACAAATTTTATACGATTTCGACGAAATATGGTTTTATATCCCAAATAACTTGGTTCCTTTCGATATTGGCATGCATCAGACCGTAACTTCATGGATTATGGCCCCTGATTGTACGAAAAATTACGTTTTTAGCAGGTGGACACTCTAAGAGGTCACAATTTTTATCTGATTTTGATGAAACTTAAAATGCATGTTTATAACCCAAAGATCTTGGTTCCTTTCAATATTGGATTATGGCCCCTGATTGTACGAAAAATCGTGTTTTTAGCTAGTGGATCCTCTCTCTGTAACCCAGGTGTCACTTAATCCTGTGTATTTAGCACTAATTTTTTTCACATTCATTTGATATCAAATCTTTGTTTAAAAATTCGTAAAAATCATTTAAAATCACCAAAAATCATCTGATTTGTACTTATTGTCTGAACCATCGTAAATTTTAAACAGATTTCTTCGATTATGAACAAGCTACTTAACTTTGGTTATTATAAACTTACCTGTGTGTTTGAAATCAATTCCCGTTCAATAAAATACATTGCACAACTAAATATTCCTGTAGAGGGTCCGAACCTTGATACCATATTTTTATGTGCGCACATTTTCATTTGGACGTATGTTATCGTCGCCCCTGTCCGTCCGTCCGCCCGGACGCCACATTTTCATGTGGATGTATATTGTCATCGCCCCTGTTCGTCCGTCCGTCCGTCCACAATTGTTCGTGAACACACTACAGGTCACAATTCTTATCCGATTTCAACGAAACTTGAAATATAGGTTTATCTCCCCAAGATTTCGGTTCCTTTCGATATTGGCATGTATCGGACCGTAACTTCATGGATTATGGTCCCTGATTGTACAAATCAGACCAAAACTGCCGGATAAAATTGCCACCCCTTGTACTCTAATAGTGTAACCAGCGGCTGCCAGGCAGGATACGCCCACATTTTGCAACAGATTATGTAAAATATTTGGTTTAGTTAAACCCGTAATGCATTTGTAAGTGTCATTTTTGGTATTGGGCCAAAGTCCAACTTCAGTAAGAATATTTTACAGGTGGACATATTCTTGATCTGGTGATAACTAATCCATGTGATATTAAACTGGATAATCTCTCTGTCTCGGACAAATTAATATCTGATCATTTCCCGGCAAGTTTTAATCTTAAGATCCAGAAACCACAACCAACAAGAAAGACTGTAACATATTGAAGGTTTAAATCACTTGACACTAGTGCTGATATCAAGTATCGATGCATCGCCGATGCATTGATTCGGTTGACGCCGATTCGATTCTCAGTCTTTTTTTGTATTATCGATGCATCGGCAAAAAATACTAATAATTAGATTTATGTGTCCGAGGAGTTCACAAGTTCGTCCACTAGAATAAAAAAAACACCTTTTCAATATGTTTTTATAATTCAAAATAAAACAATATATATGTAACGGAACAATTCAATGAATCCCGCACGAATTATTAGGCTTGACCTGTTTACCCTACGCCTCCGTTATGTTTGTCTCCATTTTCCAGTGACTACAAAGACTGTGTTTGCTGGTTACGTCCCCTGGCTATCGTGTCCCTTAACCCCAAGGTCTATTTCACGGTTCATTTAAATGACCAAAAGAACTGTCAGAAGGATAATATTTCGCCGCCGGTTCTTAACGCTAGTTTTAAAACGATTCAGTCTTATTTTCTGTCATGAGCAATAGAGAATTCATAAACCCCTATAGACAGGCTTTGATACGATCCGTAAAAATAATGCAAACGCTGTCTCTTGTAATCACCTCACCCCTCACGCCTTCACAACAAATTTGAACAATGGCTAATGAGTGTCAATTGAAGTGAATCGGACGATATTAATGTCATAATAAATATTATAACAGAGAAATATTGTGGAAATAAATTTATTCAAATAAATCAACATTTCTATAATAGGCCTAATGATAATGTTAGGGAAATTTATGTTTCTATCAGAAATACTAATGTTATTTCTGTAATTTTTGATAACATAATGGCGGCAAATTCCCGATGCTTCTCAGATAAAGGCCCATCTAGATGATAACTGTTTGTATGAACCATTTCAAAGTACTTATAAACAATTTCACAGTACCGAAACAGCTTTAACCCGGGTTTCAAATGATATTTTAATGGAAATAAATAATAGAAAATGTACATTTTTAATTTTATTAGATTTATCTGCTGCTTTTGACACGGTGAACCCTTCCATTCTTTTACATAGACTTCAATTTAAATTCGGTATTTGTGGCTCTGCATTAAATCTTTTAGAAAGCTATCTTGTGGGTAGAAAACAGTGTATTTTAGTTAATTGTAAATCGTCATCTGAATCTGTTTTGTCATCTGGGGTTCCTCAAGTAAAGGTTCTGTTCTTGGTCCGATTTTATTTACCCTCTATAAGTCACCATTAGGTGATATTGTCAGGAAATGTGGTCTCCGCTTTCATTTGTATGCCGATGATACTCAATTATATATTTCATTTACACCTAATTGTAAATCTTCTTTCAATTGATCAAAATTGCAACTTGAGAACTGTATGATGATAAAACCGAATATTGTTATTAGGCTCAAGGCATTAATTAAGTCAATTTGCACATGGTAACCCCCCTGTTGTAATTGGTAATTGTGATATATTTTCATCTTATTCTGCTCGTAATATTGATAGTTTTATGCATATGGGAGCTCAGGTAAGTAATATTTGTAAATTGTGCTATTTTAATATCAGAAATATAGGTAAAATACGTAAATTTGTAACTGTAGAGGCCACTAAGTCACTGGTTAATTCTCTGGTCACTTCTCAATTAGATATCTTTAATTCACTTTTAGTTGGTTTACCTTTTAAGCTGATAGATAAATTACAAAAAGTACAGAATACTGCAGCTAGACTTGTTACTTTAACTAAGAAATGTGACCACATAACTCCTGTTTTATATAATTTACACTGGTTACCTGTTAAATATCGAATTGATTTTAAAATATTATTACTTACTTCACTGAGATCTACTAAGTGGTTGATCTGTACGCAGCCCTTATATAAATCTCTGTTTGGCTTGTTATTTGTATGTCTATCGAAAGAAAATTAATTTCCCGACTATTACTCGGTATTGCCGCATTAAAATTGTAAATAAGGTGCGTTAATTAACAAGGTTGAAAAACTGTCAGAGAGGTGAGTTCATTAACGCTAGGGGTGAAAAACTGTGCGACGGTGCTTTTTCTGTAGAGGTATGTTTATTACCCGACCGGTAAAAAATGAATGTCATTGGTGTGTATTGTTTAATTGGCGTGTTTTCTCGCTCGTTGCGATAACTGCACCTAAAGGAGTATAATCAAGGACCAATAGGCTTTATTTGACACATACGTGTTAAATCAAAATTTTGGAAGTAAAACTGTTTTACCGTACGATTTCATTTAACCGTGTGTTTAACGCAGGTCTTTGTATAGTTAAAGACAGGTCTTTAGATAGGCGTGTGTGCTCGCTATGATCTACGTTTCTCTTGCGTGTCTTTTGTATTGCGGACCATATCTAGCGTTTAAAAAAATCAGCCCAAAATGTAACTGATAAATACTAGGGCTATGTCGATATATCGATACACGGATATGTATCAATACGTTCCAGCGATATTTATATCGATACGTAATATAGCCGTATCGTTGAAAAAATTCTTCAGTTAAGAAAGACCACAAAACCCACGTGGCGAAAGAAGACGATCTCGGCATGGTTTGCCAATCGAGGGTCTTCCACGCTCGGTATGAATTCAAGGTACCGGCAGATATTAAAATAATAACTGGATCATACATTGATGGATTCACTGACCAGTTGCAAATTGTTAGGTAAATTTAAATCTTAATTGAATATAATCCCCTGATAGAACACCGAAAAACAGTCATTTAATAATATATTTTCCTGGTAGAATTCCAATGGCTCGTGGCATATCGCTTGGAATTAGGTCAATAAACCAGTTCTAAATAGCGCTTACGGTTATGTTTTTTTTTTATATTTGATACACATTCTGACAAAGCCTTAATTTTAAAAATATTGTTTTTGTTGAAGGCTATATCATAATCGTACTTAATTTTGATTTTAAAGCCATTTCAAGTATGGTTGTCACGTGACAATTGTGCGGTGTGTCTATCAATTGACGAATGAATAAAAACTTTTGCCAAGTTACGTAACTAGTTACCTGATCGACAAAGACTACAAATTGTGTTATGAAGAAATGCCATGCTGCCGTGTCAGCTTATTTTGACTTCGGCATTTTCTGATACTGGCAATAGTTGAAAAATGCTAATATTTTAGATCATCTACCGGTACTTATGAAACGCGAACGTTTCATCGAATTAAATAAACGAAGACAGTAATTAATTTATTCTGGAATATTACGGATGTGAACTTCAAAAGGTGTACCTGTCGTTATTTGTGTGGTAATCAGTAGAATCTGCATTAAGCAGCCACCCAAGGGAATTTTCACAACTGACCGCTTAACGGGAGTGGCCTCTTAATAAAATCTCGTTGCTTTTTGTGCCGACATAAATTAAATATTACGCTTGGATGCATTGGAAGCGGTAAATTTGGCCGTCGCTGAATCTTGCGCCGAACAAAAATTCTTTACTCAAATCTCGGACATAACTTAACGGGAGTGGCCTCTTAATAAAATCTCGTTGCTTTTTGTGCCGACATAAATTAAATATTACGCTTGGATGCATTGGAAGCGGTAAATTTGGCCGTCGCTGAATCTTGCGCCGGACGAAAATTCTTTACTCAAATCTCGGACA